TTTTTTTTTTTTTTTTTCTGCTATTCGTTATTGGCGCTTAGAAATGTTGTTTATTCAACATTCTTAGTGCCTCTGATATGCGGAATAATTGAATGTTCAGTTGGATCCATGTGTCTTTCTGTGTGTGTCTCTGTGTCTGTGCCTGTGTGTGTTTCTTCTTTTTGTTCCCCCCATCGTTAAATTGAGCACCGAGGGCCAAGGAACGGAGAAGTGGAGGAGGGTTGTCGAGGCAAACAGTGGATATTTTCAGCCGTTTTGTTCAATGACTGTTATATACCACCAAATGGTGAGTCCAAACAGCAAAACAGTTACATTTCCACTATGGGGAAACAAAACCCATATTCAATCAGTTCAATCATTTTTGTTGTTGTCTAAAACAATTTAAAATGGTCAAATTTTTTTCTCTTTTTTATAAAAGGAAGTAAAAATAGTCTATTTTCTTAGGTTTTTTTGCAAATTTCAAAGGAAAACATGTTATTTTTTTTTTTTGCTTAGAAAAGAAAATTTTTTTTTTTAAATTTTTAAAGTATTACGATTTTAAAATTAAAGTACAAATCGAAAAAAAATCTTTTTTTTGCCCTGAATCAGCGTGAACGATGAATGTAAAAGTGGGAGGAAGAAATGACAAAAAAAAAAAAAAAGCGTTGGTAAATGTCGTCGCAAAAAACCTTTTCAATGTGAAAGTCGCAAAACAATGCAAGAAAAAAAGAAAAGCAAAGGAAGGCAACAAACCTTATGAAGAACCAGATTTTTTTCTTCCCTCTTTTCCAACATATTTACATCAGCTTTTCTTCAATTTCGGGTTGCTGAATTATTATTATTATTATTATTCTTATTATTATTATTATTATTATTCTTATTATTATTATTATTATTATTATTGCCATTGTTATTGTTGTTACTATTATTAATAATTGATGCTCTGAATAATAGTATTAGTACTGTTACTACCGTTGTCATTATCGGTGTTTTTGCTGATGTAATTGTTAATATTATTATCTGTTACTGTTATTGTTATTGTTAATGCTACTGTTATTCTTATTTTTATTCCTATTTTTACCGTTATTGTTACTATTACTCTTGTCCTAATTTTTATTGTTCATATTATTGTACTTCAGACAGAAACAGGCAGAAATGCACAAAAATACCGACACAAATACACATTTCAAAAACTAACTCCCTACAACCCTTCCCACACTCTCTCGCTCCGCCATCTCCCCTTCCCCGCCTCCACTCCCCCTCCTCAGCCTCCTCCGTTCACTCATCATTCGACTGGAAAAAAATTCTTTAAAACTGTTTTAAAAACAATTTCAAATTGATAATCAAAGAAATAAAAGGTAAAATAACTAACAAAGTAAATAGGATTTTTGATTTTAAAAAAAAAGCAGCAAGTTGATGCACGGAAATAACTTCTTGTTTACTCATTTAATTTCTTTTTTCTCATTCATTACTTATCTTCAGATGAAAAGAAAAAACAGGAGAAAGGAAAGAAAAACTACAATTACATCATTTTTTCCCACAACTTTTTCTTTGTCGTTCCTTTTTTTCTCTCCTTTTTTTTTTTTTTATTTTTTCAAATCAATATCCGCAAAATTTTGTTTGCAGTTCGTAGAAAGTGGGCTGAGCTCCCCCCGTCAAGAACCACTTATTTGGGCCGCTGCTCTTACATCACTGTTGTTGGAAGCGGAAAAAAAGTCCCCTTTTTTTATTGAATTATTGGAAAAACCACGCAAAAAATAATAGAAATAAAAATAAAAAAACAACAACGAACTGGATTGATGAAGGAGAGGAAGAAGAAGAAAAAAAAGAAGAAGTAATAGTAGTGGAAGAAAAAAGAAGAAGAAGAAAGAACTGAGTGCTGAGCCCGTAGAGCGAACAAAACTTAACCTCAAAAACATTCCTCCTGCCCCCTCTCGTACTCCTCCGTCAGCCCCCACTGCTTCCCCTCTTCACCTCCGCCACCCCCGCCACCTCCATCGGCCTCCGCTGAGAGAAAACAACCGCAGAGCAAACGAAATCCTCCTCTCGCCTCTCCCCAGAACGCAACAAGTCTTCTCCAGTGTTCCCTTACGCTCCTTTTCGGCAACATCTAAACTACATTTTTCTAGGCAGCTATCTAGCAGTAGTGCTCGGCTGATTCTGCTCGCTTTTCTTGTTTCCCCAAGAGATAACAACCTGGTCTTCCTTCTCCTCCTCTTTCATCACTACACACTTTGTTCAATTCAATTCGAAAAATCTCCGGGCGAATAGACTCAAAATCCCTCCATATACTTCAGAAAAAAAAGACGTTTACGCTTCATCTGTCGCATCATCGTCATCATCATCGACTTCTGACAGATGCTTCCTCCTCCCACTATTGTTCGGTCTATCAGTTCACTTCTTTTTTCATTTCTCCCTCATTCCGAAGTTTATTTATACCGCTCAATAGTTTGTCTTTTCCTCTCCAATATGGGAACGACCAAAACTGAATTTTCTCATTAGCACTTTCAAGAAAAAATACTCGCTAAATTTAGAGACTGCTTTCAGACTTTTTTGTTTCTTCCACTTACTCTTTATTCTCTCATTCTAGCTGTCTTTATTCCTCAATTTTACAACTTAACTATCAAATTTAGTCTAAACTTGTTTTGCTCTTATTTATTGTCAGGCGAGCCTAATAATTTAAAACACACTATTCTCTTTGAACAGCATTTTTTACGTATCAGAATTTATATTGACTATACTCTCAAATATGTAGAGAAAGCAGGTGTGGAAGTTTTATGTTTAGCTCAGGAAAATAGTCGGTTAAAAAAATGTAACTGTTCCTGGTTTCTTATACACTCGAACAAATTGAATTTACATCTTTCTCATTCAATCATCTCTTTGTTAATGCTTTTTGTTTTAAAGCAAATTAAGTTCAGTTGTAGTCATTATTTTTCACCAAATCCGTCACTGTTATCAGTTGACATATAGAATAATGTGGCTATTGCTATCTTTAGTTATTGTAGATGGTGTTCTACCAATGAATTTATTTCTATTTATTATGATAAGCTGAGCCAAAAAGGTAATTCGAAATTAAGCGAAACGACCAAGAGCTTTTTTTCTGAAGTATTGTAATCTCTCCAGTGTTTCACTGGGCGGACAAGTTTCTGTTGCAAATGTCAGGAAATGTCACCAGTTTTTTACTTTAGTCTAAACAGTGTTAGGAGGGAGTGAGATCGTTTAGAAATATCTGTTCGTGCTCCTTATCATGCTTCTCATTTGTTATCATTAAGTCGATTAACGGGAAGTTTTGGCGTTGAAGAAAATAAATTTTCACACTTTTACTACCATCATATTTCGTTGCTTTTTTAGAAGGAATGCGCTTTCCAGTGAAAAACTAAAAACAGAAGAAACGAGAGAGAGGAAATAAGGAAATAAGGAGGAATTTCACTAATGCTTTTGTTCAACGAAGAAGCGTTAACGTCTTCTAAAGTATCACAGTTCAAACTGGACAGCATTATACCTTTTGTCGCAAACGGGACCGTTGATGGACAACTAACCGAAAATCGTATGGATGCCACAGCAGCAGGTTGAATTAGACTTTTTGACCGGAAATGGAAATCATTCAAATAGCAGCTATTTGAACTTTCCCTGCTGAAATATTTTTTTTAATACATTGATGAAATTTGTTGGTATTAGTTAGTTAAAGTAATTTTTTGTCTAATTAATTGCAGTTCATTCCTCTGTCCAAATTTTTTTGGGTGCAAAAGAAAAAAGCTTGAAATCTACTGAACGCGTACCGGAAATTGCTTTTTTTTGTTTAAGTTGCTTGTTGATTGGTATTCCCCTAATCTTCATCTTTGCTCCGCTCAGTTCATCATCTTTTTAGCATGGCAAATTCAAACTTTTAAATTTGTTATTTTCAATGTTGTTTAGACTATATAATTGTACAATAATCTTCTGATTATTTTATTTTGTGCACCAGTTAGTTAAATGTTGACTGGAGTGTCCTGTGACAGTCTTGTGGGTTGGGAAAGAAGATATGAGTGTTTGAATGAACGCATGTAGGATGATTTCTGGTAAAACTTCTAAAATCTTTTGTTTTACCTTTTCTTAGTCTCACTATTCCTATTCTTTTCGACTAGGCTGAAAATATTCGAAACATATGATCATCTATGCGTATTGTTGTTTAGTTTCCCAGATTATTCGGCAAAGCAGTTTGAAACACACACTAACTGGATCAACTATGAGATTTTTGATGACAGTAGACGTTTTTACTTGATTTGTCCTAATGCATCATCTTTTTTCTTCTGTTTTATTATTAGACAAATTATTACTTAGGTTTGCTTTGCGATTCTGCTTTTTCTGTTTTTTTTCAATAGATACATAGGAACCCGATAACTTTCATAGTTGGCTGATGATCGATGCTTCGCATTGGAAAGTAAAAAGTTAAAATTGATTTTATTCTATGTTTTAGGATCGGATGCTGATGGTAAAGGACTGTTAGCGTTCCACATGATTCCACAGCCTGAACATTCAGTAGCCAACTTGGATAAATTCCTTGCGCAAGCTAGTAAAATTTCACCTGAGCTAGACAACGAGTCTTTGAGGAACTCTTTAGCTGGACTGGCTCAAGATATATCTTGCCTCAGTAGTTTGAATGCCCTGCAGTCGTCGAGCACTTTTTTGCAAGAGTTAGGTTTAAATTCTGGTAAGTTCATGTAGCTGCATAGTTTACAATTCATATCTGTTTCTATATATTTATCTCTCGTTATGCATCGAGAATCTTTTTTAGTAAGAAATCCTCACAAAAAACGATTTTTTCTCTTGGACTT